CCCTTTCTTTTGTTGCCGTCCTTAAGGCGTGTTTCCTGCTGCCCTTTCACAGGTAGCTTTGCCCCAGAGAGGATGTTACTGCTGATTGCTGACCACCACAGGGCAGCCCACCCAGACAGCTCCCTCTTGGAAGCTGAAATATGCGTCCTGCCTTTCCCATCAGGGGCCAAGCAAGTCCACATTACCCTTTCCCTCCTCTCCTTGCAGTTGATTTGTAGCTCAGATTTCCACAGACGTCATCTTTTGAGTCTGTCTGTTCTTGCAGGCCCCCTCCTGCACTGTGGCCACCTTTAGCACCAAGTCCCTGCTTGAATAAATCAGACAATTGAGTGTTAGCCCTCTCTGACCTGGAGATTAACAGCAAATTGTCTTTTCTGTGGTGCTAGGCAGAGGATGCTTTTAACCTTGGCCGCACACCGCTCCCTTTACTCGCGGCGCCTGCTTGTCAGTACCTTTTCCTGCCCCCATTTTCTTACAGAGCACAGGGGTTGCCTTGGTTATAGTACATGCCCAAGAGTGTACGGAGGAAGGGAACATGATGGGGAGGTGGTTTTGGCATGGAGGGAGGAGGTGGGAACTGCACCATGGCACTGATGGTTCTCAGTACTTACCTCTTTGTACCTGGGATGACTCTGCTTTGCTCCCTTTTTGGCTGATGTGATGCCCACTGCCACCAGGGCTGCAAGGCCCCCAGAACAGAGCACTCTGCTCAGCTCCTTTAGCCCTCTGCCTTCCTCCTGGTTTCTGTCCTTTCTATACCTCCACTCTGGATATCTTACTGCTTCTGTCCCTAACCCCTTCACCCAGCACAGCTTCTCCTGTGCTTGCTGGAAAGCAGGCCATTTGCAGGGCAGGCAGGAGAAGCAAGATGACACAGAGCTGATGACAGTAAGTGCATCAAAGGTGCCAGGCTCACTCCTTGCTCACATGCAGGCTGCACACCCAAGAGCTGGCAAGAGTCAAGCTTGCAGCTTTCCAAAGGAAAGAGTGGATGAGTGTCATCTGTCCTTGAAAGCCTGAGGGAGGCTGCCAGTTTCTTGGGTGCTTTCAGAAACACGTTGCTTTAGGCTGTAGTATTGGGCGAGGTGCATTTGCCCTCCCTGAGACCTCCATGGATAGTGGTGTGGTGTCTGGCTGTGCATTGCATGACCTTCCCTCCCACACCAGCTCAGCCCTCACTGATTCTCTCAGTATTCCTGTTGCAGTAGCACTGGAAAAGGGATCCTCCCCAGCACTCAGAGCAGTCATGCTCCTGTGCTAAAGAGCCTGCCCTCCACAGCTGAACCACATGGAAACTGGAAACCTGATGGCTTTGCCAAAGAATGAAGTACTTGAGGATCTTAATTTGGGCTGAGCCTTTTTCCTAGTTCCTCGCCAAGCACAGCTGCATTACAAGTCACTAATGACTTTAACTAGAGTGGTTTGTGGGAGGTTTAAACTTACTGTAGACTTTAATTCAGTCGTTGCCTTAAAGTGTTTGTGTACTCTGCGTGTCTCTCTCACACTCATTCTCTTTCTTTGTTCTTTTGGTAAAATGGCAAATCTGGAAATGTTTGCGTGCAGTAGCTGCGTTCTCATTAACACTTCAGAGATGTCAGTGTCACAGAGTTCCTGTGTAACAGTTTATTGTCTGGTTGCAGTTTGACACACCACCCAGTGAAATAGTGGATGTGAAAGTTGGTAATTTCTCTGGCTGTATCCCTCCTGCATGTACTGTAACACTTACAAGGCATTCCCCCATCAACCCATCTAACAGCACTGCCCGTGAACTCCCTATGGCCTAAGATGCTGTCTCGGTGGAAGCAGAAGCATAGCTCCAGATTACCCGTGGTGCTCTGATTGCTTTACTGTAGCCCTCTGTAAATCAGCTGTACACCTGGCTTCTGGGGCCAGCCCTGCCCAGCAAGCACCTTCCCACTGCCAGCTGAACCCCCATGACAGAAACATTCCTGCATCCCCGTTGAATTACCTTTATTTAGCCTGCTGCTGGTAAGTGCGTCAAGCACGTCTAATAACATGATTGCTCTGTTTATCCTTCCATTAAGAACCACTTCAAGCAATATATGGTAATATAAAAATGCATGTTCTAAAGGATGAAATGATTTCTGCCTTTTAAAGAAGAATGTTAATGGGAGGTGGCAGCTCCATTTTTGTCCCCCTCCTGCACATTGCAGGGTTTGAGCCGGCTGAATTATTTAAATCACACCTCTCTGCCTTCCAATTGCAGCACTGCCAAAACCTCCAACAGAGCCATTAGTGACTGAAACGACAGCTACCAGCGTGACCCTCACCTGGGATTCGGGCAACTCCGACCCCATTTCGTATTACGTCATCCAGTACAAGCCCAGATCCTTGGAGGGTCAGTTCCAGGAGGTGGATGGCGTGGCAACAACCCGCTATAGCATAGGTGGGCTCAGCCCCTTCTCAGAGTACGAGTTCCGCGTCATCGCAGTCAATAACATTGGCAGGGGTCCCCCCAGTGATCTGGTTGAGGCCCGGACAGGAGAGCAAGCTCCATCAAGTCCCCCCCTCAAAGTCCAGGCACGGATGCTGAGCGCCAGCACCATGCTGGTCCAGTGGGAGCAGCCGGAGGAGCCAAATGGACAGATCAGAGGGTACCGCGTTTACTACACCACTGACCCACATCTGCCTCTGAGCATGTGGCAGAAACACAACACCGACGACAGCCACCTCACCACCGTGGGCAGCCTCATCACGGGAACCACATACAGCATCCGCGTCCTGGCCTTTACTTCGGTGGGTGACGGGCCCCCCTCGGACATCATCCAGGTCAAAACACAGCAAGGCGGTACGTATGGGGCGAGGTGTCACTGCTCCCTGTCCACCCCAGCGGCTTGCAGCTCAGCTGTGTGTCTGGTCTGCACCAGGCATCACAACTGCACTTGCTGCTCAGATGGCTGCATATCAGAGTGGCATCCCCACCCCAGGGCCATCAGATTTAAGCTGTCAGCTTGTCCTGGGGAGTCAATCAATCTCTGTACAAGTAACATAGCCCATAGTTTTGTCTGGGCTTTTACAGTGGCTAAAAATGTGACACAAGGTCCTGGATGTGGATGTTGGGGATTGGACTAGATGATCTTTTGAGGTCTCTTCCAACCCCTAACGTTCTGTGATTCTGTGTTGGAACTGGGCTGGACCTTCTGGGGTCTGCGTACACCCTCTATAACTACCTGAAAGGAGGGTGTAGCAAGGTGGGGTTGGTCTCTTCTCCCTCGCAGCTAGTGATACGACAAGGGGTAATGGCCTCAAGTTGCTCCAGGGGGGTTTAGGTTGGATATTAGGATGAATTTCTTTACTGAAAGAGTGGTCAAGCACTGGAACAGGCTGCCCAGGGAGGTGGTGGAGTCACCATCCCTTGAGGTGTTTAAAAGATGAGGAGATGTCGTGCTTAGGGACACAGTCTAGTGGCGAACTTAGGGCTGTTTCGATGGTTGGACTCGATGATCTTTTGGTCTTTTTCAACCAAAACCATTCTACACGTGTGGAAGGAAGGAGCCGGGATGTGGTCAGGGGCTGGAATTCCCAGAGTCACCTGCCTGGGTCCCAGAGGGGGTTGCTTGTTTCCCAGTTTGTTCCAAGAGCACAGTACTGGGGGAGAGGGAAGAAGGGAGGGTCCAGAAGGAATGAGACAGGATCTTCACAAGGTGAAACGCAGACCTTGCAAAGCCGTGCGACTCCTTTCCCTGCATCTGCCTCCTGGCACTAACCGTGTGTTTGGTCCCCAGTTCCTGCCCAGCCAGCTGATTTCCAGGCAGAGGCAGAGTCTGATACCCGCATCCTGCTGTCGTGGCTGCCCGCCTCTCAGGAACGCATTACCAAATACGAGCTGCTGTACTGGGAAGGGGAGGATGGCACTCAGGTGAGGATCCTGCCTCTGCGTCAGCCGCACTTGGGGCTGGGCATCACAATTCAGCAGCTTGGGAAGGGGCTCTGCTTGAGCTGGGGTGGCAGCAGGACTGTGTTTTCTCCAGGTTTCTTCTGTTTTATGGGTGTGTGAAAGGAGCGTGGCAATCTCGGGCTGGTTTCTGTGTAAGTGACCTCAGCAGTGCTTGTTGCTGCCCAGCAAAGTAGCCAGTGACTGGTTTGGGACTGGAAAGGCTCCAGAATACCATGACACCATCCTTGAGGCATACTTACTGCTGGTGCCTTTAAACAGTTGTGCAGGCTAGTAGGGCTTCCAGGTAGGTCTGAAACGGCCTCCAAAGTGTGTCTGCAACTCCAGGACTGGTTACATTAAAGGAGCAGATTGAGGAGAGGCTGGAGAGACCCCTTCCACGTTTACTGTGACTTTCTGTGGAGCCAGAGTGGGTGATGGCACTGCCTATTCCCTTGGCATTGGGACCTAAGCACTACCTTTTATTCTCCAACTACACCAAATAATCTGTGTTTCCCTTTATTTGCCAGCAAAAGGTGGAGTTTGACCCAACCTCCTCGTACGCCGTGGAAGGTCTCAAACCAGACACGCTGTATAAGTTTCGTCTGGGTGCCCGCTCAGAGCTGGGGGTAGGAGTCTACACCCCAACCATCGAAGCCAGAACTGCCCAGTCCAGTAAGTTTCTGACACACCACTACTGAAGTCAAAGCAAAAGCAGTCCAGTTCCCTTCATCTGGACATGGAGTAGCTCAGTGCCTCTGCCCTTGTGGGTCTGCAGGGGTGTTGGCATAGAGTGTGCTAAAGGGTGCAGTGGGGAAAGTCAGCTGGGGTTTTGGATCAGGGCTCTTTGGCAGAGGGGGTGCACCCAAGTGGTAAGTTCTTTCTTCATGTCTTTTCCCTAAGGGTAGATGCATAAAAACTGATGGAGGAGTGAAACAGGCTGGGAAATTGCTTTGGAGAGATTGATTTGAGTGGGTTTGTGCATCTCTATGAATTCACTCCCATGCAGGCAAGCTGTCTGGACAGGCAGCATATGGGTGTTTGGCTCTAAATGCGACTGTCTCCAAACCATGGGATTTACACCCCTTCGCTCACTTCCAGCTGCCTTGCTTCTGCAGGGGTCCTTAACTGGTCCATACCCTTGATTGCAAGGTGAGGCATCCTCTGAGACCAGATATGAGATGTGCCCGTGGCTGCCAGGCAGCTGGAGGAGGCAGTTTGGGCAAGTGGCTGTTTGATTGGGTTGCATGGGCAAGTGAGGCTGCTGCTTTTGGAACTGCAGGGCTAGGGGAAGCCAGAACAAGCTGCAGCTGAGTTAATAGAGAGGCTGATAATGAGGTGACCCAGGCAATATCACTTTCATCCTCGCTCTGCCCCATGTGATCGCCGAGGAGGAGTTTGCATTGCTCTCATTGGCAGCTCAAAGTGCTGCGCATAAGCAGATTAGGGCTATCAAAGGGCCCTGCGATAAGCTCGTTTTCACTAACGATTTTTGGGCTTGCCATTATGCAAAGAGCATTAAAAGGGAGGAAAAAAAGACATTTCCGTTCGCTCCGTCTGTCTGGGATTTAGTAGCTATGTGGGGTGAGCAGTTGGCAAAGGCAGCCAGCTTTCCCTGCAGGGAGGGTGCCAGCGTGCACAGCAGCCGAGAGCCTGAGATGGCCATTAGAAAGGGAGCTCAGGCAGGGAAGAGCAGCTCTGCTTGCTACTGAAATGACCTTCTCTTTGAGGAAAACTCAGCTTCATTAACATATCAGTTGCAGGGATTCCTCCACCTCATTAAGTGAGCTAATGGTGTCTTAGTGCTGCACTATAGACAGGTATGAAAATGGAGGTTCAGATCATGCAGTTATAAATATTTGAATATTGAGAACAAATTCTGAGTGTGGGGATTTGTATACCTATTTCAGATAGCTTTTGTATTGATAGGCAAAGGTTGAACCAACTCTCCTGCCACTTAAATTAATTCCATCAGTGGATGCTCTTATCCTTGAACGCGCTTAATCAGAAACAGCTCCTTGCATAAATGAGTCCTTCAGAGGCTCACAACAGCCCAAGTAAGAGAAACCTTGGCTTTGTGGACTCTTCAAGGCAAACAGCTTCCCATGACCTACTCCACATGCTGTCTGCCCGCAGGGGATCTCATACCGGTCTGTTTTTAAGGCTGTTGCTTCACTGGCCAGTGGAGCGGTAGCTGACTGATTATGGCATCTGTTTAGTAAGAGAGATGTGCTCAGGTTGGAAGAAATTTGGCCAGAAGCCACAGGAACATCTTGGTTTGGCCAGTGAAACCTCCTTACATTGAGGGACCTAAGAGTTCTTTGATTTATCCAAGAAGTGACTGGGTCTTGGTTTACAGGCCCCTACTTGAGAATAGTTTGTCACGCTATTCTATGGGAAAGGTCCTTGGCAGTTACGATCAGGCTGTTCAGTGAGGGTGACAAACCAGGGTGCTGCTCCCAGGGCAGCGTGGATCTTGGGTACTGGGGCTCTCAGAGTCTAGTGGGTCTTTCAGAAAGCTCTGCTTTAGCTCAGCAGAAGTCGAGTGCACACTGCACAACTTCCAGGCAGAGATTCGTTGGTCTGCACTTAGCAGCACCTCACATGAGGTAGTTGGATCAGTCCCCTGTGGCCTTAGAATTTACTAGTCTAGAAAAGGTGTTGCTCCCAGCTTCAAATTTGTCTCCTTCCTGCACTCTTCCATCTGGTTGCCCTGAGAAAGGCTGTTAGATCTTGGAGGTTGACATGTTCAGACGGGACTCGGACTCCAGGAGCAGTCAGGCTCCTGCTTTCTGAAGAACTTGTCTTCAGGCTGTATTCCTGGCCTTGACAAACCAGTCAAGGCTAAGGTAGGAGGCATATTACAGCTAATGAGTCACTGGTGGGCTGGAGAAGGATGTCTGTATTGCTGCTGCTGGGCTTTTCTTGTGGCATCCCTGCTCAGGAGTGGTAGGGATGCTTGTCCAGGAGGGCCAGAGCGATGCAGTGCCTCTTTGCACCCTTCCAGCGGCACAGCTCAGACCCCATCTCCTGAGAAAGACGGCTGCCTTCTGGGCTGTCTTTCCTGCCAAGCTGCTTGCTTAGTTACTGGGCACCCTGCAAAAAGTACAAGTGATGCTGCTTTGAGGGCCTGAGGAGCACGGGGGAGTTTTGCAGGAGTCTGCAGTGCCTCAGGCAAGCAGCGTGATGCAGGAGAGGAGCATCAGCTCTGTGCCCATCAGGGCTCGGCATTAAAATGCTGTTCTCACTCGAAATATGAAGGTGGGTCTTGAGGCTGCCTTTTCCCTAGCTGAAGGAGAAGGTGGGCTGGATGGGTGCACAGGGCTGCTGTGGGCTGGCGGGGGAGGCCGGTGTGAGTAGCCTGGAGGCAGCAGAGATTTGCACAGTGCGTGTGTGGATCCATCTGCGTGTGTAGGTGATGCAGGCCACCCAGTCTGCTCTTTGCTGGCCCCAGGAGGGACACTTCCACTCCTTGTGCATTTTAAGTTGATCCTGCTCATGTTACCAAGTTTTATTTTGCTTTCTTTAAGTGTTAATCTCAGTTTTTGCCTTGCATGTCATGTGTGTGACTCTTACCCAGTCAACAGCCAACATTTGACCTGCCCACGCTGCCAGCCAAAGCTGCCTTTGGAGAAGGAGCTCACTGCTGCATCCCAAGGGATGCCATGGAGGCCCAAAACCAGAGCAAGTCTCTTCTGTGAAGGACCTCTCTACAGATAGTGGCAAAGGAAAGGCTTGCCAAACTCCTTATGTCTCACCTGTCCCCTCTGGGGGATGCCACCAGGCACTTGTCTACCTTACGCCCGCCCTGAATTCACTCTTGGTGTTGCTTTGGTGCTACATCTTCCTACTGTCTTCCCTGACACTTCTGTGCTGATTAACCCAGAGTGTGAGGATTTGTTTTCTAACCTTGCTCTGTAGCAGTGTACCAGATGGCAGGGCCAAACCTGCTCTGCCTCCCTCACATAGGCAACTGTTTGCTTCCACGTGTTGCTTTGACCTCTCTTTCCTCCCATGTAGCTCTCACAGCAGCAGCCTGACTCTGCTCAGGCGTTACCTCCTCCAGCTCCATCACTGTCCCCTCTGCCTCCACCTTTCCTCTCTCCAGACACCCCATCAAGGACAAGCTCTGAGCGCAGAAGTGGGCACTAAGAGTTACATGCAGCTTGCAAGCAAGTGAGCCTTGTTCCCAGCAATCAGAGATCACCAGTGGCATTGGGAGGTCCTGCTGTCCCCATCCCAGATCTTCTCCCACCAGCAAAGCCAAGGCACAACTGTTGGGTGCTTTATTTATCTGAGGTCCCTGCTGCCATCTGCAGTAACATCAGTTGCATTTGCCATTGAGCAGGCAGGCTTGTCCTTGTGCCCCAGGAAGGCGCTGCTGCACCGATGGATTCAAGAGTTATGGCTTGGGAAAGGGCACCAGTCTTTTTTCAGGCAATACTGAGTGCAGTGAAGAATGAAAGCAGCCTTTTTTGTAGCAAAGTAAGTAAGAGACCTTGTACTCTGTTATTGCTTGGCCAGTCAGCTTCCTAGCCTTGCTCCCTTTGCTTAGGGCTCTTGCCTCCTGTGCAAGCACCCATCTCCCTTGTGCCTTACCCAACCAGGTGGGCTCCCTTCCGTCTCCAGGCTTCCAACCTTATGAGAAACACCTCAGTGCAGCTCCCCTTCCCTCTGTGTATGCCTTGCCAGCAGCGAGACATGGCCTGGGCAGCACAGACACCTCTGCGCTGTTGTGTCAATAGAGCAGGAGATGTCTGCAGCATCCCTGGGTGGTGAGGTCAAATGAGAGGGGGCTGCTGCTGTTGTGAGAGGGCTCCCGTGCTGCTGGGACCCTGGACAAAGCAGAACTCTAGGACATTTGTCTGGTTCATTCACTTCTCCAGCTTTGCAGAACTGCTGTCCTGTTGCAAGGACAGCCCTCAGACATCTCTCCTTTCCCAGGACCTCTCTTCACAGAACCCCAGAATGTGAGGAGTTGGAAGGGCCCTGCAAAGCTGATCCAGTCCAACCCCTGCCAGAGCAGGATCACCAGAGCAGTCACACAGGAACACGGCCAGGGCTTTGGGTGTCTCCACACAAGGAGACTCCACAACCTCTCTGGGCAGCCTGGGCCATGCTCCATAACCCTCACACTCACAAAGTTTCTCCTCATCTTCAGCTGGAACCTCCTGTGCTCCAGCTTGGGACCATTGCCCCTTGTCCTGCCATTGGCCATCCCAGAGCAGAGCCTGGCTCCTTCCTCCTGACACTGCCCTTTCCCAATGGATCCCCAGGAATGAGGGCACCCCTCAGGCTCCTCTGCTCCAAGCTCAAGAGCCCCAGCTCCCTCAGCCGCTCCTCAGCAGGAGATGCTTCACTCCCTCCAGCATCTTTGTGGCCCTGCTGGACTCTTTCAAGCAGTTCCTGTCCTTCTTGAGCTGAGGGCCCAGCACTGGACACAAGATTGCAGCTGTGGTGTGAGCAGGGCAGAGCAGAGGGGCAGGAGAACCTCTCTGCCCTACAACCGCCCCGTCTCATCCACCCCAGGATGCCATTGGCCATGGCACATAGATTCCCCCTCTAGATCTCCTTCACTGCCCTTTCCCAGCAGTGCTGTGTGGAGGGCACTGCTGCCCACATCCTGTTCCTCCTGCTGTGACCAGTTAACTCAGGTGGTTTTTTGCCTGGGAGGGGACAAGACCTGTCTGCCTTCCCCTGTACAGCTCCATAGGCCAGGAGGGCACTGAGGCAGGTAGTTTGGCAGGCACAAAGCAGTCAGTCCTCGATAGCAGGCCCACGTGCAAAGCAGCACAGTCCCGTTATCTCCCATTTCCACATGCTGCCTGGCTCCCACCTAGGTCAGGGTGCTGCTCGCAGCTGATGGTCGTGATTTCAAGCCCTGCCTGGACACTCTCCAGCCAAGCTCAGTCACCTGCTTTCACCACACACTGTTGTTTCCTCCACTTGTCTAGGAGCGGGTTTTTGCAAGCCTTCCTGCAATCTGGTGTGTGAGCTTCCCCTTCTGCCACTCTTGCCTTCTGTAGCTTCCTGCCTCTTCTGCTTTCCATCTGCTTCAGATCTTCACTGAAAGCATCTTTCTTCTCCCTACCAGTCTCTCTCTGTCACCCTCCTCCTTCCTTTCCTGCCATTTGTTGTGTTTGGTAAAGTGAGCGTCCAGAGCTGCTTTGGGGAGAGGTGCTCTCTGATGCAGAACAGCACTTCTGTCTCCGTGCTGTTCATCGGGCTTTCAAATACAAATTGCCCCCAGTGCCATCTTTGACGATCTGTGAGGAAAGCAGGCGGTTGTCCAGGAGGCTACTGGCTGAATTTCCATATGTGCATTCAGCGCTTGGTTGGCTGGGTAAAAGTTCCCTGTGCATTTTGGTTTGCCCTTCCACTCATTTCCCTTCATCTCCCCACTTCATTTATTTATCCCCAGCCCCCTCCGCCCCACCCCAAGAAGTCGAGTGTGTAAGCACCAGCTCCACTACCATCCGGGTAAGTTGGGTGCCACCGCCTGCCCAGAGCCGCAATGGGGTCATCACCCAGTACTCCATTGCGTACCAGGCAGTGGAAGGAGATGACAACACCAAGCATGTGGTGGATGGCATTGGACGGGAGCACTCCAGCTGGGAGATCAAGGACCTGGAGAAATGGACCGAGTACAAGGTGTGGGTAAGGGCTCACACCGATGTGGGGCCAGGACCGGAGAGCATCCCCGTGCACGTGCGCACTGACGAGGATGGTAGGTGTAACTGCATAGCTCCTTCAGCTCCTGCCTTGGGGTGACCAGGACTCTGGTTGCTGGAAAAGGGGGGGAAAGGAGCGGGGATGCTGGTCTGGGAGTGCTTTTCAAGCAGGAGCAGGGGCTGTCAGGAGCAGTGCCTTGGTCAGCTGCTCCAGGGAGTGGGTGTCCACGGTTGCCCTGGAGTTGGGATGGGGAATTCACAGCATCCCAGAATGTGAGGAGCTGGAAGGGCCCTGCAAAGCTGATCCAGTGCAACCCCTGCCACAGCAGGATCACCAGAGCAGTCACACAGGAACACGGCCAGGGCTTTGGGTGTCTGCAGACAAGGAGACTCCACAACCTCTCTGGGCAGCCTGGGCCATGCTCCATAACCCTCACACTCACAAAGTTTCTCCTCATCTTCAGCTGGAACCTCCTGTGCTCCAGCTTGGGACCATTGCCCCTTGTCCTGACATTGGCTAAATTACTCTGCTGGCCCTTGCTCTGATACAGTGGTTGCCTCCAGGCTGTGGGTCAGGCATCCCAACGTGATCCCACAGGGGTCCTGTGTGTGCTACCAGTGCTTCCTGTGCACAGGAGGAGGCTTTGCCCCTTGGACTTTTCAAATGTTTGGTGGTGGTGGTTTCCATTTTACTGAAGTTTTTTTTTTACTGAGTTTTCCCAGCCAAAGGCTTCTCTCACACTGTGAGATCAGGCCTTAAAGTCTACTTGTTGACCTGAAATCCAGCAAGCTAAAGAGGGGAAAAGAAAGCCATTTGAAACCTGTAGCTATCGCAGGAAAGCTGCTTCTTGCCCCAGCTTCCAGGCAAGCCACAGCTTATATAAATCTGCTCTTCCGCTCAAGAGTCAGAATATCTCATGTCCAGAGCACTTTACTGGATACGACAGCTTTAAAGAGAAATTGCTTTGTATTAGCAGGCCTGTCAGTTATGTCATCACGACTTAAGCCATTTCCTTTGGAAGTGCCAGAGCTCAGGGTGACAGTAGACGCTTCCATGGCTTCGTGCTGACCCCAGAAGCCGCGGTTTTAATGGGAGAAGAAAGAGATGCAGTGTCCAGGCAAAGCAAGGACGAGCTCTGCATTGCCCAGTCAGCATAGCAAATTGAAATCAGGCATGTTACAGTTTCCCTAAATGGGCTGCCACTGTCCCCTGCTCTCCCTGGCCCTGGAAGTGGCGTCTGGGAATGCTCGCCGACTGCATTCCTGGGCTGGCAAACACATCTGTGTGTGTCCTGCTGCCTGTATTGTTTGCTTCAGCTCTCATTCAGCCGAGTCATAGCCCAAGGGAAGCTGCTACCCCAGAAATGTCGCAACAAGCTCTCTCAGTTAGTTTTCGGTCACCAGGGTTGGACATTCCAGCTTAGCTGTCAGGAGTGATTTCATATCCCTCTGACGTGCTGATGCTCGGTAGATACCCACGACGAAGGAATGGGAAATGCTAAACTGTATTCTGAAAGCAAATTGAACTTTCCCCATTTGAGTCTCGGATGCAGCACACCCTTCCCATAGCGGGGTAGGATGGTGTTCCTCAAAACACCGTGGTCCACTCACGTTCGCATCCTCGTTTTCCAGCAGCATCCCCGTATCATGTCCTACCAAGGCCTCTTGCCTTCTCTTGCCAGCAGAGCTTGACACGCAGCTTCTGTCTGGTTCTCAGGGAGGATGATCTTGTTTCTCGCTTGGACTCCCAGCTGTGTTGTGTGGGCAGGTGTCTCGCTAGGGCAGGAGAGCCCTGTGGCTTCCGCAAGGTCACCGCGCTGAGTGAATCGTGGATTATAGCGCAGGCTGCTCCAGCCAGAGGGTGGTAACTATTCAAGCACAGCCCCCTCCATTCCCATACCTCGAGCTGGCCTCGTGGTACTAAAATGCTCCATTCTGCCTCTTTCTGTTTCATTTAATTATCTACAATTAAGAAGGACATCTGGGGAAAATAATGAATTGCCCTGCGGCTTAAAAACTGTGCTTACCTGCTGGGTAGCTGTTTCTTCCCATCTAGTTGGTTGAAACACCAATACTCATTATGTCTGCTGTCAGCTATCCATCCCTAATTATCTCATACTGATTATTTCTTGCTGTATTGAGAATTGGGGCACACCAGGTTCCAAACCCCTGGATTTTGCCAGGCAGAGAAGGGTGGAAGGGGTCCTGCAGTGGAGGTGCTAGGATGGAGCACAGGTCATTCCCTTGGGTACCAGGCACTGCTGTGGCAGCAGTATCCTCTGCAGGGAGTGCACACCTCTGCTCCCAGCTGCTTCAGCCAGGAGGAGCTTTCCAGGAGCAACTGAGAAGCTTAATTTTTTAGCATTGACATTTTTGTCACAGTCAATGCAGGAGCAAAAAGTAATAAGGAGGTAATTTTTCCAAATGGTAAATAGGGTATAAATACATTTTTAAAACGGGCCTCACCTTGCAAGAAAATTGATATTTTCTGGGCAGTGTAATTTTTCATTTTATTATCAAAAAGCATTCAGCTAGCCGTGCATGAAATACAGTCCCCAGAGCTGTCACAATCCCCACGGGCCCCTTTATCTGACTGAGCTCAGTGACTGCTGTCTCTGAGCTCTGGGTTATTGTTTTAGGATGGTGCTTTTCCCCCTCATTAACCTCTTGCTGTC